CGGTATCTTAAAGGATGAGAATTTAATTTAATTTGCACAATCGTGATGATCTGATGATAAATTTTACAGTTCTGCTTACGATGAGTAAATAAAATGATCGTCAGACGTAGTTTCATGAAGATTATTCCAGTTAGAAAACATTAGGTGAAGAATATTCAATTTTAAGATAAAAGTTTCCTATAAACATATATCGAAAAATTTCATATAAGGGAGCTACATCCCCTGAAAGGAGTGCATCTTTGAATGGATTTTTTCCAATATTTCAGAAACCATCGGGGATAAAATTACAAAATTTGGTACAACTGATAACCTTTATACACCTAATTGAATTCAAAGATAAAATGTCGAAATTTTTACTCAGAGGCGTCCTAAACTGGGGGGGTTTAGAGTAAAAAGTACTCCAACTATTTTGGCGGTTGGTTCCTGCCACTTTCAGCCACAAAATTCTAAATTTCATAGTTTTTCACAAAAAAGAGGTCTCTTGCGTTTTTTCGATACAACTTACGGTTTTTGAGTAAAATTAGTTTACAATTTGTCTGACAGACCATAAAGAGGATAAAAATTAAAAATTAAATTTGTTTCACCGTTTAAGACACCCGTGATTAAAAATTACGACAACTTATCTTTGAATTCGTTCAGGTGTTTAAAAGTAATCAGCTGTAGCAACTTTTGTAATTTTATCTATTCTGCAATACCTAGTGGGAAAACCCCATTAAAAACGCATCTCTTTCAGGGGGTCTAGTTCGCTTACGTAACATTTTTTGATACATGTTCATAGAAAACTTTTGTCTTAAAATTGAATATTCTATCACCTGTACACCTCATTTACGAATCTAATAAATTAATAATAGTAGGGTAGGTAGGTCAAGCGGTTCCTCTATTTGGACATAATTCTACAGGTACTTTTTTTAACTGTAGGTATAGTTGAATTTCCTCTCTTGCCTGTACAGTTTTTTCTTTAAAAATGTATAATAGGAGCCCATTCTCCTTTTATGTTGTTGTAGGCAATTGGGCTTTGTGCTGAAGAAAGTTGTAGAAAGTTTGTCGGCGGGTGGTATGCAATAATTCCCAATTTTAATTTTTAAAGCAATGTAAATTTGCTTTATAAATTAGTTGCTTGTATGTTTGGTTGAAATTGAGGTCTAAACGTGTCTGAAGAAGTGGTTGTTATGATGGCTCCTTCCTAATTTCGCGAAAGATGTTGGTTGGCTTAAGTTCAAGACATGTTTACAGCCCCGGGACTTAGGTAAACTTGTAAAGTTATGCGCAACACGTAAATACCGCGCTAGTAAACTACCATTTGGCTTTCATTATGGCTCCCCCCCTACCCCTATTAAATCTTTGTTTTAATTGCGGCTATTAATTATGATCACAGTTTATCTTGTGCGAGTGTTGGTTGCGTATGAATTAGTTTTCAGGAGCGAACTAATTAGAAGAAAGTCGATGTATCACCGGGGGGTTCTAGACTCGCCTCAAAATGGCTGGCGTTCTGACATGGGAGCTGCCCGCTGTTCCAACAAGAACGCTGATTTATTACACCACTCATTTCTCGGACTTCACCCCACGGTTTTACATACACCCACTTGGAGGCGCTCTCACGCCCGAACAACGAACCTCCTTTAAGATTTTCTACATGTGTCGCCTTTTTGTTACCAGCCGAAGTCACTTATTATGATGGATCGGCTTCGGCGGCCCTCTAAACGACTGTTTATGCTCATTAATGGCCCTTCTAACCGACACCAACCGGAATCTATAAATCTAGCGATAATGGAAATGGACGATCCGATCACCCGATCGCATAGAAATGATTCAAAAAATCCGTAAATTGCGTAAGCGAATTTGTCGAGTCCTCACAATCCAGTTCTCCCGAGACAAATAATGCCCCGCCTTTGAGTCTCTCGATCGGGGTTGAAATATCTCCTGGAATGTCTCCCTATCGTGATACTTTTACAAATAATATTCTTTTTAAATGTTGTTTTCAATAAATCAATAAAACCGAGATGTAAAGATACCCTGCACCAGTATTTCTTCTTTTCAGGCATTTCTGAATTTATTAGCATTGTTTGTGCTTTATCTCTGTGTTTGATCGGTCTTGGTCGGTATCGGTTTTCAAATTAAAATAAAGCTCGACTCGTGGAAATTTCTTGCGACGTTTCTTACCCCCGAACAAAATCAATTATATCAAAGCTAATAAAGTGAGATTGACTGGGACATGGCGGTCGGTTAATTGGCGAGTAATTTTATTTATTGCCAACCACTTCGCAAACTAACCCCAGAATTGGCAGTTTATATGGGGGACAGTAAAGTTTGCGGACCCGACAACGAATAGACTGCCGCCGTGATGTAAACACAATTACCGAATCAATGTGACTGCAGGGATGCACAATAATTCTGTATTGGGAGTGAATTGCTCATGTTTACAAGAGACTAACTACAACTAAATGGGACGAACGTTTGCGCCAATATATGTATAAACCACCAGATAATGAGATACTGCGATAATTAACCCAAATGGTTATTACACCCAAAACTAAATTGTGCAAAAATAGCCTATTTATTAAATCACAAGTCAAAAATTTGTGTTAGACCACGTCATAGAAACATTAAATTAGTTAAAAAACATTATCTAAAAAATAACAACAAATTACTATAATGCTAGATTTTGCTAAAAAAAAAATCATCACTAATCAAAAATATGTACTGAGTTACTTGGCTGGATATGGAGTAGTACGAGTATTATTGATTCCAAAACGTTTTATTTTTGCAAGCTTCTATAGGTGTTTTGGTTGGGATGCATGTAGGTGGCGAGTGTATGGTATAATTTGATTGTCTGTGTTAAAATTCGCCGTCTAAATAATGATGTAAAATGCATAATGCATCATTGCAATAAATAATGAGTGGAAGGTGGATAAAAATTGAGACTTACAGTTGGAGAAACGCCGCACGAAATCTCTTTGTTCTCGGCTGCAAACAATGGAATGTAAAACAAGCTGAAACCAAGTTTACATGTAATTTTAATCAAAGACCAGTGCAGTAGCCTCAAGTTCAATATTGTAATTGGGTATTATAGCAAAAGGTGCGATTTTGCACACAATTTGCACACACTATATAGATGTTCATAAAACTCACGAGCGCTTTGCATACGGCCGCTGTTTTGCAACTTCACACCCACCTCTTTGAGGATTTACGACCACAAACGTTTTTATTGTTTATAACAACTTCACCAGAGAAACGACCGAACAAGAATTCAAAATAAACGCAACCAACTGTACCGATTTTAGGCAACCATTACTACTCCCGTGATAATTAAACACACAGACGCGTCCATTGAATCGGTCATAAAGCCAACAAAAGAATTATTCTTTCGGACTCTATGATATATATGGTTGCTAAAAAGTATAAAACGGTTATAAGAAATGTAGTTCCAGACCTCCCAAGACGAGATCACTTGGTCCGACCAACCAGCTCAGTGAAAAGATTGGTTGGTAATCATGCGGCCATCAACTTTTCGCCACAGACTATAATGGAGATGTTTCAGAGGCTTTTTCATATTATTCATGAAAATTAAGAAATCCAAAATGCCCGATTCCATGTTATTATTCAAATTTTTCCTCAAGTGTTTCATAAAACCCTAATCAATTTTTTTCAAAAAAGCTGATTCATATCAAGATAAAACAAGAATTGTAACTAACATCAACACCTTGAAAGAAATAAATTTCACGCTAATCTTCGTATAAAAGATGTGCATCTTATTCAAATGAGAACATCTCGTGTTACGTTTATTACAACTGTTAACTACTCTCCTCTCCATAAGAAAATTAATAACTCGTTTTGTATGTGATTTTATTGATCTGGCGAGTAAATATGAATGTAATAAGCTTTTAAATGGTCCAATATTTCAGTTTTATAGTCGATTTGAAACCCCCCTATTTACAATAAGTGCAAATAAAAAATATCATTGACGTCCATTAGCGCCCCCATTACGAAGGGTAAACTCGTTTCAAACACTCTCATGCTTACCTGTCATCAATCTCCCACTAATATAAAATGCAACCGTTCCCGCCCTTAAACTAATTAAACTAAACTTTTTTGCAAAAAGCGTCGCGACGCAATTCCCTATGCGTCTGCGGCCATGCATCACATCGGCTGCTGCCATTGCCCGCCAAATGACTTTTACAATTGCAATATAACTTATCTCCCGAATAATCTACCCCTGAATAATGGAAAAGAACATTCAAAGATGTTCAGAGGGTGGCGGCTTTTTACACACACCTATGAGAACATCATTTGCATTAAAATAAATGTGTGCATAGCTTCCGGACGAAGTTTTAAGCTCGCCAGATTTTCAGAGTTTTGGAAATGAGACAAACTCGGATTTCAGTTGGAGAGTCGGCGAGGCAAGTAAATAGCCAGGATCTGCATCACAAATGGTGGTTTGCAGATGATTTCGTGCAATGGAAAAGTCAGAAAATACTTTCTGCAGTCAAACTAACTTGTGATTAATTATTGCCTTATTAAAAATACAATACATTAATTAGGCAAAGCTGTTTAAATCAAAAGTTACAACGTTATAAATAAAAAAAATTAAATTAATCATTCATTTTTTTGTAGTCAAAAAAAATGTTTTTAAATTAAATTGTGATTAATGTTTTCATCAAATCGGCAGACAAATCGTTTAAAGAAATTTGACTTATCTAAATCTGTTGAAACTTTAATTACCTTTTTCATGTGTTTTACTTAAATTTAGCTTCTTGAAAATATTTTATTGGTCTGATAAGAACTAGTTTAGAGTCTAGACCAGCTCACACAAATAATGGTGTAAAAATTAAATCAAAATTCCAGTTTTAAAAATTTGTTATTATTAGTAATTTAGTTCCTCAAACCCAAAAATGCAATAAAATTTTGTTTATTAAGGATGTAGTCTCTTAATAAATGCGATTTCATTGCAAATTTTGCCCCTCTACGTACCTTCCTTCAAAACAATTTTGGCCCAAACTTACCGAAAGTCATAGAATCTGAAAAAAAATCACGTTTGGAATGCGTCGTAATTTTCAAATAGAAAAGAAGGAAAAAATTAAAGCAAAACGTCATTGCAACATGTAACAAACCGTAATTCCCATAAAAAGTTGCCACATCCATTTCCCACAAGCTTGTTAAGTATATATGAAACAAGTATGCAATTAGACGAGGTGATGAAAAGAAAGAATCCGTTAAATCCTTAGAATGTCCATCTCGAGCGAATTCAAGGAAAATCTCCGAGCGATTAATTACAATATAATTTCCAGTAGCTTAATTGCGCACTTTGCAACCCAACCTATAATTATAGACAATGAAAGGCGGAGCGATCACCACGTGACTAACTGCTAAGCCATCGAGACTCAACGTTGACAATATCTCATAATAACAACGGTTTCTGGACTCTAATGAACCAACCGGCCGCTCCGAATGGCTTCTTTATCCTTCAGGGAAGATCCCGCGTGATTGATCGTCTCTATTTCTATTCATTTAATATGAAATAGGAAAACATACGGCCCACACAAAGTGATATATGCGTTCCAAAATGAAAGCCAAGTTACAACATACAAAATTAAAAAATAATGTAGGTACCTACATAATTTATAAACCAACAGATTATGATGAATATTAAATATTTTTACAAAGTAAATTAACCTTTTCAACGTAAGTAACAGTAGTCACTTTTGTATAACTTTATATAACTTGTATAACTTTGTATAACTTTTTATAACAACTTACTTATTTAGTAACGATTGTAAGCACAAGGTAAAATTATGGAATCATTAAGCATTTTTTTCAATTATTTGCCTTCAGAAAATAATAATTAATCAAAATTAAAGCGCTATAAAAATATGATTAGTGTTTTGAGAAAAAAACTTTTTTTATCAAAACGTCAACTTATGTAAAAAAAAAATCGATAAAAACTGAATATAAATAGTTGTTGTAATGCTTAGATCAAAGCCTTTTTCAAAAAAAGATTTTATAGTGGACTACCATTTAAAAAAATCAAAAATTTTGCACAACAAAAAAACATTTTTATAACTCTTCTTGTATAAAAAGCTATTGCAAAAGTTCTTTAGTGTTCGTTTTTCGAGCATGAGGATCTCAGTTATTATAAGAGATACCGAGGTCAGTTAATTTAAGTCAAAGTTGCGCATTTTTATGCTAAACAATTATCTAAAAGAAAATTTAATGTGTCATATTTAGTTTTGGAATTATTGGATAAAAACGAAAATTTGTAATTAAAAAATAAATCTGTCATCGTATTTTCCAAGGCGGTTTTGATATCAGAGTTACAACACTCAACTTTGGATTTCCTTATGGACGTCATATTTGATTTCCGTATTTTAGAAAAGTTTTTTTGTTCCTCTTTACAACGATGTAACACATAAAATTTCACATGTTGATCAAAATTAAGAAAAAGCGTTATTGCGAAGAGTGCTTTGGAAAAAACGCCAACAATTTTGATTAACAAACTTTTTTGGCGGAGAATAAATTTTAGTTTATCACGTTGTTCCTATTTCAAAACCTTAGTTTTTAAGTAGGTAAGCTTGACGGAATCTCAATTTAATTGAACAGCAAAAATTTAGTTTGTTAATCAAAATTGTTGGCGTTTTTTCCAAAGCCCTCTTCGCAAAAACGCTTTTTCTTAATTCTGATCAGCATGTAAAATTTGATCATATCGTGTGATACATCGTTGTAATAGAAACAAAAATACTTTTCAAAAATACAAAAATCAAAAATGGCGTCCATAAGAAAATCCAAAGTTGAGTATTGTAACTCTAATATGAAGAGCGCCTTGGAAAATACGATGACAGATTTAGATTCATTGTAAGAAGGTGTCTTAAGAACGTCTTAGTTAAAAACGTCTAGGTCTTTTAGTTTTCGCTTGAAAAAATAAAAACAAAAATTAAAAATTTCCGTTTTTTTCCTATAATTCAAAACTAAAAATTACACAATAAATTTTCTTTCAGATTATTGTTATCAGCATAAAAATGTGCAACTTTACCTTAATTTAACCGACCTCGTATCTCTTATAATAACTGAGATCAACATGGTGGAGCTCAAAAAACTAACACCCTGTATACCAGTTAAACAAAAAGTATAGAAGCAAGCGGTTGCGCTTAAAAACTATTTTTTTAAATATTTAGACAATTTAAAGTATGTACCTAGTATCAAAATGTAAAAAAAAATCTTTTAGTTTTTGAGTTATGCAATTTTTTTTATTTTAATCAAGTGGTAGACTATATGTCTTTTTTTTGCTCAGACTATCAATGTATTTTTATAATTAATTGCTAAAATTACGTCCCGAGCTGTGATTTCACTGAATAACAAAACACAAAAATAATTATAAAGTTATTTTGCAAAATTGTGGGTAGAAAGTTGCTTCCAATAATTTTAATAGTAATTTTAAGGAAAAATGTGTCGCTTTCTGATTGGCTCGCTTCTAGTTTAAGTTCAAAGTGTTCGTATTTGGTGTTTTAGTGCTCGGCTTTAATCAGATCCGGTGTTGTCCGTATGAGTTGTCGCATTTCGCGTCGTTTTACAACCATGAAGAATTTTAATTCTTTGTTCCTTAGTGGAATTTTATTTGCGCGGAAAGTCTGTCGGCTGTCGGTGTGTTGTTCCACCGGCACGAAGTCGGGACATGCCTGACGCTTGCTTCGTTTTACTTGTAATTGGATTCTCATTTCCGACGCATTCAGAATGGCGATTCTGGTCGGCTTTATTCTTTATAACGAACACTTAGAAAATTTTAATTGGCCGCGTCCTTTTTTGGAGCGAGTCACCGGCGCGGCACTGCCATCCACTCGATTTATCATCGAGAAATGGTCGGGAATTATTTAATATTATTAAAATATTTGCGATGGCAAAAAGGCCACGATAGACCGGAACACCAGTTGCAAGGCAGGTGCAAGTTCTTGCGGCCTCAGCCGGTGCCTTCCAGACTGCAGTATTTGTGCAACGGCTGCATTATTTAATTAACTGCAATTTTTTAATGCCGCCATTAACAACCTCGCCGATCCAGATTAAATTATGCGATGAAGCCTTTTATAGAATTATAGATTCGAACGGGAGGCAATTCGTTAACGAGTTTCTAATTTTCCCACGGAATTATTTATGGTGCGTTACACTTTTCACAAACGCTCGACACGACAAAAGCAACACAACACACAACCTGCGAACACCCCCGATAAAGCCAAACACCAGGGGCGATTATGAACAAGCTGCGAAGCACTTAGCCAAAGACGATCAATTAAGGATTACTTGCACACACCCACGCCTCAGGAGCACCCATTTATCAAAAACTTTAAACGAAAAATTTTAAATTTTATGAAAGTGGTATTAAAATCGTCTTCAAAGATCAATTTGATAAACATCCAATTACAAGAGATACACTTATCAATAAGATATATTTCCATATAAATCAAAGTCGGAGCAAAATCTGAGTTAAACTGCCAACAGTTTTATCGTTTTCAATAATCTCGTAATTATTAAACAATAAATTGAGCGCTTGAGCTACCGATATGGAATTAAATGGGCGTCTAATATCACCTGCCGATAGCACTGTTGCAATCTTATGACAGTTTTCGCTCTCCATAAGCAATTTTCTGCCATTCATCTCTTGCACAAGCATAACATTAAAGATCGGTTCCGGCGTGTCAAGGCGTACCTAAGAGGATCATTTATTAGCAAATCCGGAATATAAGTTATTAAAATCACGCCTAACTTTAGAATTCTTCAATTTCACAGTTTAATAGTTTTCCGTTGGCGGTGCATCTGCTGTTAAACAATACAAGTGATCAGAATCCACTTAAAACGGCACAAAAGCCGACATTTAAACCCTGTCAAAGATGATTTAAAGTGGTACAAACCCCACGATTGCTAATTCAAAAAAGTGCATCTGTCCTATTGGACACTTCATGTCCAATCGGGTTGGGCCCCTTGCACCCATCAATAAGTAATAAATGTCGATACGTGACTGGGAATGCAATATGTCTGCATATCCCTTACGCATGAGTCACTTCATAAACCCACGGTAATGTAGTGATATATGGCATAACAAGAACACGAATCTATGACTCTATTATGGAAATCGAGGGTGACCGTAATCCAAAAATAACAAGATTAGTACATCGATCAGAAGAGATGGAAAATATTCCAACGAGAGTTTATATGTCTCAATCTACATAGAATGCGCGCATATTGATAACACGAATCAATCACCAATTGACAACGGAACTCCTCTATGGGCAACGATGTCACCGATAGATACCTCACATGTGCTAACCTCAATCATTTCCATGCGTGCTTATCGCCGACATTTGCACTTCATTAATACCAGCAGATTCCGAGTAATATATTGTACTTTAATCCTTTACTTTATTCCTACTTCCGGTCACTAACTTTTCCGCTAATGAGTTTAGACAGCCACATGCAATAACTCCGCGAGACATGCAAATTAATTAGAACGTATGGGGGCAGTGTACAATTGTTCCAAGACTGGAAAAATTTCTAGTTTCGATAACGTTCACGATTGTCTCTAATAATAGTGGTTAATTAGAAAAAACCGGCCGAAAACGGAACGTGTTTGCCTAGAAGTGAGAGTTTATTACAGGTTTGAGCGTCGAAAAAACGTTATCGGTTTATAGATGAAGCCACAAATCTCTTTGATCCGAGCAAATTGTCGTTGCGTCTCCGAAATAATTTTGAAGAAAACGTGTCGATTAACGGCACCGTTCCCGTTACCGGTCGTGTATAATTGCATCGAGTTTATTTCTTCCCTAGGCTTGTATCGGGTTATTACACGATCCAATAGCCTCGAGCGATATAATATCACGGGCGAATGGATCAGCCCTTGAATACAATGCGCGATCTCTTAGGGAGAGACAGAGATGGGGTCTTTGGAAAGATTCTGTGTTGTGTGAGATGGATCATGATATGTACTCACGGTTGCCATTGTAGCGGTTAATTACCAGTTAACGGGGTGTCTAGTGAT